TTCCTTCGTCTATCTCTCCCCTTTATTCTTTAATTCAGATCCGTTCATTTCCCTCTTCGTTGTTTTTTCTTTCACTTCTCTCTTCCAGTCCCCTCATTTCATTTTCTCCCTTATCTCAATTTAACATTTTCTCTTTGCTCCTGCATTTATATCTTCTCCACAATTATTTATATTTCTTCCTTCTAAAATACCTCATTGCTGTTCCAAAGTAAGGCAATTTCTCAGCAATCAGTCACACTCAGTCGAAGTACAGCTTGAGTGTTATCGATCAGCTAATGAAGGTTAACAAACATCTTGACTTGTGGCTTCTGATTTGCTTTCTCTTAATCGTTTTGTTACTCGTGTTGCCGTTGTTATTGTTATTATTTTTCTTGCTTTTTTGTGTATCAAGTCTTTTCATTGTCATATCCTTTTCTTGGGTGATAGCGAGAGAAGCAATAAAGAGGAATACTCAGTTTTAAACCTGGAATGTCCGGAGGTAAATTTTTTTTTTTTTTTAGTCGCCGGTACTCTCCCGGCCCGGGTCTTTTCCGAGGAGTGGTGACCCGGCCTTGGCTCCCTATCTGGGGAGTATCTCGAGACCTAAGTCTCCCATGAGAGGAGGTACAAGTACCCCGTCATCTTTGGGACCAACTGTCCCCAGGCCTAGCCACAGTCCCCGCCCTCACGGGGCTCGCAGAGAGAAGCTAGACCTCTGGTCTGCTGAGCTGCAGGTGGTAGCAAGCTCAGGTAATGAGAAACTAATCTTGGTTGTGATTTACAGGCCTTCAAACTTTGATAGGGATCGCGGTAAACTTCTGTGAGACGAAATTCATAATTAATCTAGTTACGAAAATGTTGTGTTAATAGATTTTAACTTTAGATAAACTCACTGGAGTAATTTGACAGGATATCTAAAGTCTAGCAACTTTCTTGATTTGATCCAGGATTGTTTACTAAAACAGTTTGTAAGATAAGATAATATTTCGTTCGGATTTTTAACCCCGAAGGGTTAGCCACCTAGGATAACCCAAGAAAGGGAGTGAGCCATCGAGGACTGTCTGTCTTATTTCCACTGGGGTCCTCAATCTTGTCCCCCAGGATGCGACCCACACCAGTCGACTAACACCCAGGTACCTACTTGCTGCTAGGTGAACAGGACAATAGATGTAAAGAAACGTGTCGTAAATATTTCTAGCCAGCAGGGAATCGAACCCGGGCCCTGAGTGTGTGAAGCGAGGGTTTTGCCAGCCAGGCCACGGGGCCACAGAACGAACGAGAGCAAACAACCTGCCTGACTTGATTCTTGCTAACAAGGAATCACTAATTAATAATCTTGAGGTTAATGATGAGTACTGGCGAAAGCGATCATAAATCACTCAATTTCAGTGATAACTACAACTAAGTCGATGTCCCTGACTTCCGCTTGGCCGATTTTACAGGACCGAGAAATTACCTGTGTGAGGCGAACTGGTGGGATCTGACCGGTAAAAAATCATGTAGGTCAGGTAAGTGATGATGGTTGCCAATACGTTTTTCAAAGCATAGTTCAATCCGCCCAGACTACTTATGTTCCAACCAGGCAAATTAGATCAAACAAAAATTATCCTAAATTGAAAAACAGTAGAATAAAACATTTCGTTGGTCAAGAAGAGGCATTTACAGGCGAATGAAAGGGGAAGAAGGGCACTTAAGAAATCAATATATTCAATTAAAAAGTGAAATGAAAAAAAAAATAAAAGCAAAAAGAGATTATGAAGTTAAAGTCGCAAAGGATTCGATGATTAACCCAAAAGGTTTCTTTCAGGTATATAGAAGTAAGATTAGTGACAAGATAGACCCACTTAAAAGTTGCTTGAGTCAGACCACTGACAACGACAAAGAAATGTACTCAATCTTTAACACTTTCTCTTAGTTTTTACGAAGGAAGAAGCTAGAGAGATTCCAGAAATATAAAATTATATAGACAGGGACGAAAAAAAAGTTGTGCATGATGAGTCACTAGTGACATGGTTCTCAGACAGATAGATAAATTGAAACCTAATAAATCCTCGCCCTGTTAAACTGTTCGCTAAGGTTATAAAGGAATGTTTTTTTTTTTCTTGAACTTAGCAAATCATTGGCTAGTCTTTTCAACATATCACTACAAAGTGGCACAGTGCCAGATAAATGAAAATGGCAAATGTGATATCTATGAAACAGGAGACAGGTCTTGAACTTTGAATTATAGACCACTTAGCCTACCCTTCACTGTGGGAAAAGAGATGGAATCAATAATAGCCGAAGGTATTCGAAGCCACCTTGAAAGTCATAAACTGAGCAATGAATCTCAGCACGGTTTTACAAAGGGGCGTTCCTGCCTTACGAATTTACAAACTTTTTTCACTAAGCGTTCACAATAAAGAGAGCAGAATTCTTGGCTTCATATAATGAAATATAAATAACAGGAGTCCTCAGGTTATTCTACTCTATATAACGGTGGTTAGGCCTCATTTACATTATACTGCATAGTTCTGGTCACTGTATTACAGATTGAACATATATGCGCCGGAAAATGTACATAAAATCTTAACAAAGTTGATCCCATGTATCAGAACTGTTTCTTACAAGGATAGACTGAGGGCCCTGAATCTGCACTCTCTAGATAGGCGTAGAATTAGGAGGAGAATATGACTGAAGTGTATAAATGGAAAACAGGAATAAGGGGGGATGTTGTTAGGTAAGACACATATGCAACAGTTAGGTATCTTTATTTCGAAACGTTTCGCCTACACAGTAGGCTTCTTCAGTCGAGTACAGAAAAGTTGATAGAAGCAGAAGAGACTTGAAGATACCTAACTGTTGCATATGTGTCTTACCTAACAACTTGTCGGTATTTTATACCATTTTAATGTTCAAGGGGGGATGTAAATAAGGTGTTTAAAACATCTAACCAAGACAGAACTCGCAGCAATGGGTTCAAGTCTGAAAAAAATAGAAACTGTATAGGTAAGCACTAGTTTTGAAATAGAATTTTGGATGAGCGAAATAAAATTCCGAGTAGAGTTATTGAAGCTAAAACCTTGAGTAGCTTTAAAAATAGGTATAGTTTGTGACAGAATCAACGAGGGGAAATAACTTGCTTGATATAGTTCTAGCTAACAAGGATACCTGCTGTGCAGGTAAAACTTAAGAACATAAGATGAACATCAAAATGGTATACAATACCGACAGGTTGTTAGGTAAGACACATATGCAACAGTTAGACAACTTTATTCCGAAACGTTTCGCCTACACAGTAGGCTTCTTCAGTCGAATACAGAAAAAAGGCAGGAACAGTAGAGATGTGAAGACGATGTAATCAGTCCATCACCCTTGTAGTCGTAGAATTTGAGGTTGTCAGTCCCTCGGCCTGGAGAAGTTCAGTTCCATAGTCAGGAACTATCTGAAGATCAAGCGACAGTGCGGAGACTTAAATACTGTCAGAAGGAGAGGTGCAGAGTAGTAGTAGTAGTAGTAGTGATAATGTAACCACTGAGAGGTCATGTCCCTCTCAGATCCAACAGTTCTCACTTGAAAAGCTTGTCCAAGGTGTTTTCTGTACCAAGATGCCATGTGTTGCAGTGTCTGACAAGATGAACATCAAAATGGTATACAATACCGATAGGAGGAGCACTGCAGCAGGCCTGTTGGCCCATACTAGGCAGATCCTTCACAAATCCATCCCACTAACAGAATATTTGCCCAACCCATTTTCAACGCTACCCAAGCAATAAGCTTTGATCAATTTATTTACTCATGTGCAAGTCCCACTCAAATCCAACCCCTCTCACTCATGTATTTATTTTTTTATTAACACATCAGTCGTTTCCCACCAGGCAGGGTGGCACAAAAAAAAAAAAACTATATTCATTCATTCCATCACTGTCTTGCCAGAGGCGTGGTCACATTACGGTTATAAAACTGAAACATTAACACCCCTCCTTCAGAGGGAGTGTGTCCGGCCTGCCAGTTTCCCTGAATCCCTTTATAAATGTCAAGTCCTAAAACCCATTTGTCTCCATTTGCTTTATCAAATACTCTCACGCATGTTTGCAGGAAGTCTAAGCCCTCGCACACAAAACCTCCTTTACCCCCTTCTGCCAACCTTTCCAAGGCCAACCCCTACCCCCGCCTTCCCTCCATTACAGATTAATACACACTCGAAATCATTCTATTTTGTTCTATCCTCTCTACGTGTCTGAACCACCTCAACACCTCCTCAGTCACCTGGGCTGAGGAGAGGTTTTAGCTTCAATAACCCTACTAGGCAGACTGTTCCACTCATTACCTACCCTATTTCGAAACCAATATTTTTCTATATTCTTTCTAAATCTAAACTTATCTAATTTGATTCCATTACTGTGGGTTCTCTTTTGGAGAGATATCCTCAAGACCTTATTTAAGAACATAAGGATATAAGAAAGGAGGAACACTGCATTAGGCCTTTTGGCCTGTTGACCTGTACTTAGCTCTGTGAGGACATATCTACTGTCTGTGAATCTGAACCAAGATGTCCTCCAATGAACAACTTTACCAACAGCTTAATGAGGATCTTAGGGTGGCTAAGCTCGAGATATAGCGATTGATGGACGAAAACAAGAGGATTCGTAGTAATACTGTTGTCAGTCCTCAGGTCACAAAGGGAACTCGGACAGTGGCCAGACAACATGAGATGAAGCAGAGGATCAAGAGGACAGAAGGATTGGCAGAAACAACGAAGAACAAGACTACTGTGGAAACTTCGAACCCATTTTCTATGCTACTCAACGAATGTGGGTTGTCTACTGGGAACGTCATCACGAGTACCAAGGAAGCACTGGCAGCCGAGGTTGAGTTGACATCCCTTGAAACCCCAGCAAAGATCATTCCAATGAAAGACAAACTCCACCAGTGAAGGTAAGAACATTGTTTTAGTTGGGGCCAGTCAGGCTTTTATGGATAAGGCATTTTGTCTTAGAGACAGGAAAAGGAGGCAGAGGGTATGTTTTCCTGGGGCTGGGATGGATGATATTGCTAGCCGTCTAGACATCATGAAAGGTAATTGAAGCAATCCTATTATTTGCCTCAGTGTGGGAGGCAATGATGTTGGCAGATGTAGGAGTGAAGACCTGATCAGCAGGTAAAGGATAGCAATAGAGATAATGAGGAAGATGGGTGAGAACCCTGTGATATGTGGCAATTTGTCGAGGCGAGGAATTGGAACTCAATGGTTGTCCAGGGCAATTGGTGTCAACTGCTGACTGAACAAGCGCTATAAGGAAAATGCAATAACATTCATAGACAACTGGGATCTCTTCTGCGGCGGAAATGTCATGTATACCAGGGATGGGGTTCACTTATCTAGGTTTGAGGTGGGGGCACTGGCTAATGCAGTGGAGGGAGCTGTTAGGTCTTTAAACTAGAAATAGTGGTATGGGCTTTTTTGGGAAAGCAGTGAATTCTCAGTGTAGCGATAGTGTGAGTTTCAGAGAAACCAGTTATAGGCAGAATGAGGTAGAGTTATTGGTGAATATAGGAAAGCCAGTGGCACTAGGCGATAAGGACAGTAACAGGGATAGTGTAGGAGCAGAAATCAGCAGGAAGAGAAAAGAGAAGGGAGGGGTTTCTAAATTATGTTATACTAATAGTCGTAGTGCTAGAAGTGAGATGGACGACTTGAGATTAGTTGCAAGTGCAGGTAACATTGGTGTATTTGCCATAACTGAGACGTGGTTTAATATGAAATAAGGGGACATGCCTACTGAATGTCACATTCAGGGTTTTAAATTGTTCCAAGTAGACAGAAGTATCGGAAAAAGGGGTGGGGTGGCACTGTATGTCCAGGATCGCTTGGACTGTTGCATAAAAACGTGTATAAAGTCTGAAATAACATGTACTGAGTGAGCCAGGGTAGAATTTTCAAAGGGGCACGAAAAAATTATTTTAGGCGTGATATATCATCCCCAAAACTTAGACAGGGACCAAGAAAGACTACTGCGGGAGGAAATTGTTAGGGGCCACAAGGTACGATAACGTTGTAATTCTAGGGGACTTGAACTTTAGTCAGATTGACTGGAATTCCTTGACTAGGAATTTAGAGTAAATTTTAATGTCTAACTTCTTAGAGGTAGTTCAGGATTGTTTTTTAAAGCAGTTTGTTACAGAACCTACAAGGGGAAACAATCTGCTGGACTTTGTTCTGGCAAACAAGAAAACCTTTGTTAATAATTTAGAAATTACAGTGGAACTTGACGCAAGCGACCATAAATCGATTACCTTTAGCACTGAATGGAAGTATGATAGTAGGGATAACTCAGTAACGGTCCCAGATTTTCGCTTAGCAGATTACAATGGGCTTAGAGAAGACTTATCATCTGTGGACTGGGGTAATGAAGAGAGCTATCAATATGACAGCTTTCTAAACACTGTACATGCTGCCCGAAGAATATTTATTCCGAAAAAAGAAATTAGATCGAAAAAAATGGCCCGAGATGGATGAATAATAAGCTCAAATATCCTGAATTCATCTCTTCTCCACAATTATTTACATTTCTTCCATCCAAAATACTTCATTGCTGTTCCCAGAAATAAGCAAACTTTTATAACAATCAATCACGCTCAATCGAGGTACAGCTTGAGTGTTATTGATCAGCTAATGAATGACAAACATCTTGATGACTTGTGCCCTCTGATTTCAATTCTCCTAACCATTTTATTGCTCCTATTGCTTTTATTATCGTTGCTACTGTTTTCGTTGTTTTTATTGTTGCTTTTGTTGTAGTTATTATTGTTCTTGTTGTCTTTCTCATTATATAAAGCCTTTTCATTGTCATATCCTTCATGGATGATAGTGAGAGAAGCAACGTACTGGGACTCCTTAAAGAGGAATACACGGTCTTATACGGCGTCGTACCAAAATTTTGAATGTCCGGAGATAAATGAAAAGGGCGGGGGGATTCTTTTAATCGAAATGCGTTGAGAAAGCTTTTTGCAATAGACAATATACGTTTCAAGAAGAAGATAATATATAAGTGAGTTAAATAAGATGAATTGCACAGCAAGATCAGGCTGATAGACTGTGTTAGTGAATCAAAGCACGAGAAATACGGTAGGACTGAGAGGTCATTTTTTCACCCAGTTCATTATTTAATCGTAGTTGGAGGAAGGTGAAGTAGAGAGGAAAAGGTGTCAATGGGTTAAAAGTGAAGTGAAAGAGAACGAGGAAGTAGACGGTTAGCGAGAAGCGTGACCAGCTGATGGAAGCCTAGTTTACTTTAGCCAGGCAAATAATGGCGATGAAATCGAAGACACTTAGTGTAGATTTAAGAACGAAATGTTAGTGAGTAGCTGAGGTTTATGGGTCCTCAAGACAAAGTACAGGAGGGATGTTAATGCAGTGGGTGGAGGAGCAGGAAAAAATGGACGAAAAAGTTTTTTATTTTAATATATGCAGTGTTTTTGTAGTGTTAAAACAGTCGAAGATGAAACACATATTTATAATAAAGAGAATTAGGATGATTC